TATTGCTTGGAACCGTCGAATATGTTTGAGGTTTTCCTTCTACAGTAGTTTAGAACTGGAATACACTACTTGAGGGATGGTTTGCATTTCAAATGCTAATTCTATTCGATATTCATTGGTGCGATGAAGATTGATTCTTAAACCTGCCGCAATCAACGCATGCGATGTTGTTCGTCTCGATGACGAAGCAGCGGATGTGTGATTTAAAAAAAAAAAAAACGTTGTCTAATTTACTACGGTACTCTAATTTGTAAATCCGAAGATTAGCTGCAGTCCCATGGATGAGAAAGTCTTCGAATTTGACGTGAAACGTTAACCTCAGGAGTCAGGACCTTGACTTATTTTGTTTTAACTTTTAATGTTGATTTATGTCATTTATCTTCGTAAAAGTGGAGAATTTCCTCGTTTAGAGATAGGAATGAGTTCCGTTAAATAAATTGACGAAGGACGAATGTGTTCAGCATCTTTTGCAAAATGTGGAGGTCGAATAATTCGCCGTAATTGCTTCATTCTCATCGCGATGGTTTGCTGTCGTCGTGAAAAATTGCGTGTATTTTTGCACGCAGGAAACCCACTCCCTTTCCCCTCATCGCATTTCGCAATCTGTCGGAGTTTTGGGTGTGTTTTGTGTGTCTCGGTCTGGATTCGTTCCGTGTTATGGACAGGGTCTGTCGGGTGCAGCCGGGAAAGATTTTCGTGACGCGGGTAATCGTGTCCGAAGGCGGTGATGAGCGTGCCTTGGTGATGGACGTGTTTCCCCAGCAGATTTCCGGATTTTCTCCCGATTTTTCTGCCTCTTAATGAGGGATTATGTGCCTCCTGGTCGTGCGAGAGATTATCCCAGTACTTTTTGCGATTATTGTGATCCACGGATTCAGTAAGAATGATTCATGGAGCATTTTTCGGATAAAAAGTTCCTCAGACTGTTTTTTTTCATGAGATGCGGCGTATTTCAGTTCATGGAATTTTCTGTAAAAACATTAGTTTAAGACTTATTCAGATTTCTCGGGCTCTTATGCATCGACACATTTAGAGGAAACATTGGCCTGTACAGTATATATCTCATTTTAATTATACCCGCGAATCCAAAAAAGCTAATTCACAGCAATTAGTACGGGAATGTCGATCATGCAGTAATATATGAGGCCATCCACTTTTTCTTTTCGGTATGTCGAATCAATTTTTGCTGTTCGGAAAGACAGCCGGTCATCAGCCCATATTGTCTGAGTTTTGTTGTACAACTTTCAACTACTGGATCATATTTTCAGTCGTGGATATGGGATTCTTCAGTTCGACTTCTTGGCGGCGAACAGGGTTTATTGTCAAATTTCGTTGAAGATGTCTGAAGAAGGAACAGAAAGCTTTTATCGCCGGAATTCTGGAAGTCCCGTCTGGAAGCTGGGAAGAGGCTTGAGTTGAATGGCTGTTAGAGCACGAACAATTCAAGAGGCTTTTGAAGAGTACCAAGGTATAACGTGGCCTGTTCGAAAGAATTTACAGTGAAGAGAGGGGGTTTTTATGTGCCCATTTTTNCTGGAAGTCCCGTCTGGAAGCTGGGAAGAGGCTTGAGTTGAATGGCTGTTAGAGCACGAACAATTCAAGAGGCTTTTGAAGAGTACCAAGGTATAACGTGGCCTGTTCGAAAGAATTTACAGTGAAGAGAGGGGGTTTTTATGTGCCCATTTTTCGCTCACGAAAAGAGATGGAAGAAAAAAAATTTAGTGCTAGAGGAGGAAGGTAGCGGAAGTCGAAAATTTTTTTCTCCTTTTTCGTGCGAAGAAGTTCGGGAGAAAAGCATTCCACGACGGAAATGGTGGGAGATGAGTGGAAGGAAATTGAACTCGGCATGATTGATTGCGATTTGTGCGCGAGATATTTCGCCGGAAGAAAAATGCGGGGAAGCCACTTCGTCCGGAGTGGCTTAGTTGCGACTGCGAAGAGAAAAATGATCGAAAACTATTTCGATTCTATTCCTTATTGGAACTCGTTGAAAATTAATTATGTTCGGGATTTGGCCTCGGTTTACGACGGGGGTCCTCTTGGTTCCACGAGAATAAGATTGAACAGCCGTATTTTAGACTTTTCTCAGCCTTCAGTCTGAATGGAAGTTTCAATTGGTGTAACGATGTCGGTTCTTGAAACACGCATTTAATTTGTTCTACTGCATTTTCAAATTTTCGAAAATTTCGTTTCTCAGAAAGATTTTAAGATTCCCCCTCAGTTTTCTCGAAATTGAGGGGGGGGGATGGAGTGCTTGTCGTAGACGGATCTAAATTCGTAAAAGAATTTTAGAAGTTTAGATGTGCAATTATAGTTGATTCCAACAGACAATTCAAGACCAATTTTAGAAAAAGAAAATTGAAAAGTTGGTGTAATAGAAATAATTGAAATTCAATTCAATCTAGGAATCAAATCATGTCCAGGTTACATTTTGGGTGTTTTAATTTATGAAAAACTTGCAGTTTCAAAGTCACTAAAATCGGATTCGCGTCTTACAGCGGGATACAATTGTACAGCAAGAATTGACTGAAAAACCCTGGTGCGCGTCTTATTCAAGAGCGCGTGGAACTTGAGGGAATGCTTTATTTACTGAAAACCTCCCAACAATAGAATCTTTAATTTACAGTATTATTGTGGGGAGTGTTGCAGTTAAATGTTGCGCATACATCGTTCTTGAAGGTGAATCAAGTGGAAGAGTGATTTTTTAAAGGCAGTTTTTGTTTTCCTTGCAGAGTGACGAACGTTTTCGAGGATTAGCGGAGGGTCCATACGCTGTCCCGATGCGAGGCACAGCAGAGGGTGCGATTGACCCGCGCCAGAGCGCCGCTCTACAGCAGCAACAGCAGCACCATCTTCAACAGCAGCACCAGCACCATCTTCAGCAACAACAGCACCACCTTCAACAGCAGCAGCACCAGCACCATCTTCAGCAGCAGCAGCACCAGCAACAACAGCACCTTCAACTGATGCAGTACCGCGTGATCGCGGCGCGTCCTTCGTCTGCTGACGTTCCTCCTCCGTCTCCAGGTGGCAAACATTCTGGGCGTAAGACGGATTCTTCCCAGCAGACGGAGCACAGTGCTTTTGGGTAACTACTCGTTTCTTCTCCTTCGAAACCACTCTTCTTCTTCTTCTTCTTGTAATGCACGCTTTTATTCCATGGTTTTTCCACTCCCCTATCCGCCATTTCGAGTATGGGTGAAACGAGACCTTTTTCATAGTTTAGTTCGAGAGCTGATCTTACGTGGGTTTGCACCGGTTAGGTTCCGTTTTCCAATGAAGGGGGTTTGAGCTTTCTCGAGTTTGGAATCTTCAGATGCTTCTCTGCTTCTATTGATGCGCTGCGTTTTGGCGGAGATTTTCAAAAATTCCTACCGCCTTGGACTCGACGGACGCGTAAAAAATACATTATAAAATGCTGTAATGTACAGTAAAATCTTGTTGCAAGAAAACCTCTGGGACCTGGAAATTTATAATTTATACTGATAGGTTCGTTGTTAATATACTAGATTAACTAGAATAACGTTTTGGCTGTGCTGGAGAGAAGTTGAAAATGAATTCGTTCTGAACTGCCGAGCGTTATATTGAAATTCCTAATAGCGAGATTTTACTGTACAGTACTCTATCGAGATAAATGACTTCGTTGACATGGGAAGTGAAAATCTACTCAGGAATTCCATCAACACGTGTGTCAAGAAGTAGACCTATGGGACTCCGTCGTGTGAATTTCTACAAAACAAAACAAGAAATCCGTCGTTGACATTCGCTTTAGAACAGACTTCGCAGTTCAAAAACGGTTGGGAAACTCGGGGTTACTGTACAGAACTTCCTTGGGCAAGCCGAAAAGTTTCAATGAGTTTTCTTCGCTTGAAAGGTCTTTCTCCTTGCATATTTGGAAAAACATTTCGAACTACAGTTTGAAACTTAAAACTACTGTAAAGAAACACGACTAGTGCACCTCGCAAGCACTCAGACCAGCGTAAATTACTTACAGTACCATTCTCCAACTGAAAAACCTCGTAAGGTTCACATGTCTTGACGAGATTCCTCGAACAAAAAATCTGTTGGGGAAATCCTCAAGCGAGCCACATTACAGTACTGTATTTAAATATTTGACTCGTACTTCATCAGGAACCCAATAATCAATTCTGGCCATTTCCTGAATTTTTATTTTATTTTATTGCATTAATCAATAATGACATTTATAAGTTCTCCTTGAAATTTAATTTCCCCCGCCTCTTCAAATTATCCAAATTTCAAAATCGGTTGCTCGAATTCAATTGGATCAGAGTCGGTTCGAGAAATGCCATCGATTCAATTGCTGTTTGGCACATGAGAATAATATATTGAGTCAGGCGTTCTGTGGGTGTAAAGCGATAACCCGACCTTATCCAGTACGTAATTTGATTTTTCGCCGTTCCCATTGTGCAGTTTACAAGGCAAACCCCGTTCAACCGTGTTACGGCTCTTTTTTTTTCATCTGTTTGATGCTTCTGCTGTCGAAACGAAATGGGATTTCGAACGAATTTTCTGGTTCGAAGCAGCAAACAAATAAGTAAATTGAACGGGGTTTCTTCCCCCCCTCTTCTTCCCGCTAGTGGCATTTCCTTGGAAAGCGTTTTGCGCGGAGATTTCCCTTCGTAAAGTGTGCGAAGCAAACATGCACCCCGGCTTTGAAGCGTTCTATCTCTTGTTATTCTAGCCGGGGGCAATTACGAGCTCTTTCTCCATGTGCCTTCTGTGATTCGAGGGTTTATACGAAGTTTTTGCATTTCTGGAATGCTGTATTTTCGTCTGGTGGGACACGTCTGTATTGCTGAAGAATTTACTTGATGTCCTAAAAACTCCCTGGCGTCCTATTGAGCGTGCACAGTAAATTGCTTTGAAAATCAACTCTGCTAGCGTGCTTTGACGGATGAGCAGTAGTGCGTCAACATATTATCAAGAGCTGGGAAAATCTGGTAAATTCTGACTTGCCCCCGGCAAGAGATAGTTGCCATATGCTAGTTGAAATCCGTCTCGGAGGGTGGGATATCTTGTTTGATAATTTTCCTACTTCCCCTGTGCCAATGTTCTCGGTTTGTTTGCTTGCAGCCGACAGGACGCTCACGGACGGTCGTCGCAGGAGAAATTCAATATCCCCAACACCAGCCGCACGAAGGAGGACAACCGTGAGTTTTTTTTTTTCCTGTTGTTTCATTTTCTTCAATGCGTTCTTGCGACAATGAGTGAACCCGCCGGCCCTTCGTTTAAATTGGACTTGTTTAAAATTTTAATGTGAAGTTTGGATTTAGTCGAGAAGACCTTGTATTACCCGTTTTATTAAATCATCCTGACTTCGTTAGTGAGTGAGAATGCTTTTGCATAATATTGTAAGCCAAGTTGAAGAAAACTGCTAAAACTGTTGTTCCTTCCAACAGGCCCACGTCAAAAGATGGACTCGAAATCTTCCCAAGGAGTGCAAACCCCTTCGAATTCGGGTGTGTCGCAACCGAGTGTATCATCGAAGAGTAAATCGAAGCAGCAGAGTTACTCCTCGTCTTATTCGCCGGTGAAAACCGCCGCTGTCATGGGTATCCCACGGAATCCGGAAACCCTCCCGGGGTCGCCGATTGCCGGCGGCGGTGGCGGCAGTGATCGTCCGAAAACCCGCGTCAAGGTCTGCGGTAGCACGCAAACTCCGGATGTCGACTACGGGAAGCCCGCTTTGTCGGCCAATGTCCGTGAAAGAATTCTTGCCAACTACGCCCAGAGTGGAGTGAGTCTATCGCATTGTTTTTTTTTTTTTATTCTGTAACGGGATTGAACGTACAGTGAATCCCGACCTTCTGGACTGTCGGATCCCTTTTTTAACTTAATTTATTTTTCTCAGTCTTCAAGATCTACTTCATGTCTAATAAATTGATTGGGCCCAGTCAATTTGTCTTATCCTTGAGTTGAAAACTTACCGTAATACTAGTAGTCCTCCTATATTTTGAATGTCGTACTTATTTAACCTGCCGAATACTCGTTCAAAAACTATTGAATTTTTTCATGTTGCTTTTTGTGAAAGCTGCGGTTGTTGCACTTGAATTTTTTATTTACGTGAATTACTCTTCTTCGATTCTTCGAATGTTCTTCGATTTTGGCGTTTGAAGAAAAGATTCACTTGAACAATCAATAAAATAATTTCAAGCGGGTGAAAGGAAACAAACCATTGTATGTAACTCCATTTCGAACCGCTTTGTTTCCCCATCGACGTCGACAAATGTTTTCTTCTTAATTCAAGCAGGATTAAGATTTATCCGATGAGTATCGGAAAGTCAACACCGTATTCAATGTATTTATTTGGGTGAGGGGGTTCTTCATATGATCTCTGTAAAAAGGAAGAAAAGCGAGTAACTGCACGTAAATAACTGGTCAAAGAAAACTTTGAGGTCATCTGGGAAATGTATTTTTCTACGAGGTTTTCGGCAATCTTTGTGTGAACGTCTTTGAATGAATTTATTATTCAGTAATATTGTTCCTGATCATGCGCAATTCTTGATGATCGGGGCGAAGGCCCTAAGGCGGTAGACTTCATAATCGAGGTTACACTCCAATCATATTCCACTTCGCACGGATTTTTCTTCTGGAATATTTTTCCGGAAAGTACTGTATCTCCATTATGAGGTGTTTACATGTGTTCAAATGCATACTGGCTACTCGTGCGTGCGGTGGTTAGTCGATTCTCCAGCGTTGGTTGAACTGTGTGACAGGATTTCAATTTATTTATCTTATTTTTCTTCCAGAATGCAAGCGGCACGGCTATCATGTACTCAAGACGTGGGATGAAGACGGATGGGTCCCTGAGCGACTCGAATTACTCGAATTATGCGGATTTGATGTCGGGCAAGGAGTACTCAGCGGCGGGCGAAGGTGTCTACTCTTGGGCATCCCGACACTATTCCGCATTTTCACCTGCTGCTGCTCCCTTCCGACGCTTCGGTCAGTTTTAAATCATTCGTCCCGAAATTTTGTACATGTTCAGCTAATGTGCATTTGAACGGCATAACGTACAGTAGTAAAATACGAGAAAGATATCGTCAAAAAACATATTTGTATGGAAATGTCGATGCAGTTGAAATCGCGTATTCAAGATTTCCACTCGGGTTCAGAGTGAGAATTTTGAATACTTAATTGTACATTCCGTTAAGCTCAATTCAGATAAATTCCATCTTGTGAAACCGCAAAGATTACAAAAATTAACGAAGGTTCAAAACTCGAATGCCATTTGAAACTTCGAAGAAAACGCATTTCTGAAAGACTAAAAGCGAATTGCGTAAGTGAGGTCTGGTATGTATTCCGTGTATGAGAATAAACAATTTTTTTGTTCATTAGGGAGTCTGACGGAAGGCGAGAGCATGGAGTCATTAAGTTCTACTGCTTCATCCATCGCTGCGCAAATTCAAAATGCCAGGGCAAATAGCCTGACGCAGACGAAGATTTTGCTGCAGCAACAGCATCAGTCCCAGGCTAATGCCCCTGGATCACCTAGACTCAATAGATCCAGTTCCGCGAGGTGAGTTTACATATTAGAAGAAGTCTCGACGTAATTCTTCCAGGGCATTTTATTCCGTCGGCTTGACTGGTGGAAGGGAGATGAGAAATTAATTTTCATCAGTTGACAGGTTAAGACTATAATTTTAATGCGTGAAGTTGCCCATGTAGCAGTTTCCCTTCGTTTTTATGGAATTTTAGTATTGGACGAATGAAAACCTTGTTCGTCAGTCGATTTGGAATACTGTACTTTAAAAAAAAAAACACGTATGTGATGTGGTGCCGTTTTATTGTGCTATTGTTTTGTTTTTTCCTCCCTTTTGTGCGTCTTCCGTGTGATGGCAGCCATCATGTGAGGACGTTTCCGAGGTATGATGGACTTCCTAGTTTTTTTTGCTGCTTATTGGTTTCCCAGTTGAGTCGAAGTATGCTTGGCTTCCGATTACCTGGAGATATTTTCCTGCTGATGCATTGAAGTGTGTTTCTTGTGGTTAAATTTGCATGGCTTTACGGATTCAACCCAATTTTGTTGAGGGGTGATCGTGAGACGTCGGCTATCCGTTTTCAATGTTTTTTATTCATTTTCTTGATGCAATGTCTTTGGCGGCTTGATGATAATGGGGTTATTCTCAATGGAATATTTTAGTCTGCTGGTATAAACTGTGGAAGCTTTAATTTCTGGGTTCACCGCTTGACGCGTTTCTTTTGTATTTGAAATTCTTTGGGCTTCAATTAATGTTGGGGAGATATCTTCCGGAGTTCTTTTTGTCTGCTGCGTTTCGTGTGTTGGTTGTGTTTTTGTATTACGTGCGACCTTCGTGGTAGTTCTAGTAATACTTTTTCGTCACCACCCGGAATACAGTTCGTTTTCAAGCATATACATTTTTATATTTTTAGATCGAATAAGTCGGAGAAACTTTACACTGGTCTGAGTTCTGACATGATGACCAGGCTGTCATTTTCGAACGCATCCGGAGTTCCAGGCGGTAACGGTGGTTTGCTTCCTGGTCTCGAGGGCAACCAACCTGGTTCACCACTTCCAGGACAAAAGTACGTCATTTTTCCCATTTTTGTTGATGAAAAAATTGAGCACTGTGTGTCGGGAAGTGATAAAAACGGATATTATTTTTGCAGACCTGGTTACGGCATGAGCGCCATGTCAGTGCCACCGTCTCCGTATTCGAGTGGAGCTGACCGTCACGGTCAGCAGGGTTCTTTGCGAACTGATGATGGTAAGTTTATGCGCGTTTCTGTGTGGTTTGCTTTTTCTTGAATTGCGAATGGACATGACTGGTTCTTAGTTTTTATATTCTGGTATAACAAGTGAGAGGGGAAGAACAATTTATATTCACAGTCGAAGGTCCAAGTTCTCGTTCAAAATTTTCAGCGTTTGGTCTGAATCACTGACTGCATTAAAAATCTAAAAACCAATTCCAATTAGCAAAAGCCCATTTATTCTTCTTGAGCAACTCAACTATTAAAATACAGTACGCATATACACGTTTCCTTTCTAACTTCTTGACAAAATTCAACGCGAGTCAGGGGACTTTTCTGCCGTAAATATAAACATGGAGATTGTGACTGAGCGTCGAAACTGAAGATATTTGAAGTTCGATTGTTCCTTTTTCTTGAAGATGTTCTTGTCTCTCGTACCTCAATGTCACCTAAACTATTTTTCTTCTCGCACTAGCTCATGGATCTGCTATCAGCCTGGTTTCGACGGGTTCTTCATTGTATAGTGGACAACAGGGAACCAATACGTCAGCTTCGGTTTCTGTAGGGGGCGATGAAACTGCCGCTCCGGAATATCGTCGCATGAAGAGGGAGCTGTTAGATTCACAGAAGAAGATACACAGCTTGACCACTCAACTGGCAACTAATGTGAGCTTTCACCATAAAATATTTTTCCCCCTCATTCAGCCAAAAAACAATTCAGAAATTGTATTTAAATGAAACTTTTTCTTTCCCATAGGCGCATGTGGTCGCCGCGTTTGAACAGTCGCTGTCCAACATGACCCAAAGGCTTCAGCAACTAACTTCTAATTCTGAAGAAAAAGACCAGGAGTTGAACGAACTGCGTCGAACGATTGATCAGTTGAGGAAGCAGAGCGCTGAGATGGGCATACATTTACCGAGTATGAATTTTTATGCTTTTTTTTTTACTTCTAATGAAATGACATTTTTATTGTTTCGGAAGTTGTGATACTGTCTGTTGAGCATCCTTTTCTCAATTTATTACTGTATAAATTTTGTTTTACAGTCTTCGTCAAGGTGCTTATATCCTTGAGAATTCATGAAGGTTTTTCAAGTATAGTAGAAGCTTGTGATGTTTGAAAAAAAAAACAATGATAATTTGTTCCTTGGTTTCAAACGTATTTGTGATCGTTATACAGTACTGTATCAACATCTGATTGATTGGTTTTGAAAATCCATCATCTGTTGCGGTTTTTTTATTCAGATAATTTGAGTCGTCATCTGTCGACCGAATCCATGTCGAGCCTGTCTTCAGCTTGCAGTGTGGCCTCACACGCGTCAAATGCGTCGCATGCCTTGGATTCGTCACAGAATCATTCTTCAAAAAAGAAGACATCGAATAGCAAGAAAAAAGGTTGGCTCCGTAGTTCCTTCAGCAAAGCTTTCGGTAAAGCAGGTGCGAGTGGCACCATGAGTGCACAAGCTACCCCGAAGAAGTCCCTATCGGGCCCTAGTGAAGATTTCTCCGCCTCAGTGCCGGGATCCCCAATGATGTCTGTCATTCATCATCACCATCATAATTCAGATGCGAATGCCTCTGCCAACTCGTCCGTCACGAATCCTGCATTGTGAGTCTTCCTCGTCGCTTTAATTCAAAATTAATCGCCCTACCGGAAGTGATGTGCTTTCCGGAAAATAATTAGGCTTGTTATTTAAATCTTGCGAGCTAATTTTTTTCATATCTTCCGTTTAGTGCTGATTCGCTCGGAGAAGAAAACTCTCGTGCGATGCTGGATTTAAAGAAGCAGCTGCGCGAGAAGGATTTGATATTGACTGACATTCGCTTGGAAGCCCTAACGTCTGCTCACCAGCTCGAATCCTTGAAGGAAACTGTCATCCGAATGAGGGTAAGTTGAACTTCGGATTGACTGGACCTATTTTTTCTGAAAATTTGCTTTTGTTATAATTTTTAAAGTTCTGCTTATTTTCTGAAATTCATTTCGAGAACTGATGTGAAATAAAAACGTAATAACCGATTTTGATGAAGCATCTCGTTACATGATTTTGAGTCATGAGAGACTTTTATTAGAATTTAGATGTATTTCGTTATTGGAGAGCATTCTCGTTGTTCAGTGTGATCTTCCGAACCTTATTTGTGCCATTCATTGTGTTAATGGACGTTGTTTGATTTAATAGAACGAGATGCTGACTCTGAAGCAGGATAACGAAAGACTGCAGCGTTTGGTGGCCAGCAAATCCCTCAACGCTTCGACAAACTCTCTCGACGAGAAGGAGAGGTATGGAGTAAGACGTGGACGTAGCAATTCGAATGCGGGTCGCTCGGACTCGTTGGCTGAGAGTGCAGTTCCACAGCATCATTCGTATGTCGGTGAGTCATTTTTTGACTTATGCTGCGACCTGTAGCACGATTTGTAGTGGAAGCAAGTGTTGAGCTTTTACCGTTCAATTCATTCACTCAATGGGCTCATTTTTCTACAGATCTCGTGGGGGAAGGGAAAGAGGAAGGGCAAAGGATCTCCATTTCAGTAGCTCTCCCTGGGGATTTAGCCGTGAAAGACGCTGCCGAGGATCCTCGGAAAGCCAAACCAGAAGGGGAATGGTTTATTGGAAACATCTACGTGTCCGGAAAAACCAAATGGGAGATGCTCGATGATCTCGTTGGCAAGATCTTCAAGGTATGAATGATTCCCTTCATGTCGGATTAGTTCATACGTATGAGATTTTGAAAATTGCGTAAGTTTTCAAGATGCGCACCATAAATTTTAAAAATAAATCGTGTAAAAATCGCATTTAAAATCCGGGATTGTGTTTAATGTAATATTGCGTTGTTCTTGCCGATTGTTTTGAGAAATGGTGTTGAAGACGCTTATGTGATGAGGTACTGGTAGACTCTCTACAATGAGATTCAAAGCACCAGAAAAAAATTCGCTGTAGACAGAATTTCGTTGTAGGGAACCCTCGTAACATGGGGGGGGGGGGGGGGGGGATCCGAGGGGGAAAAAAGGTTGAGGGAGAGAAAACGTACGCAGTTCGTTCAACTCCTGGTCTTTTTCTTCAGAATTAGAAGTTAGTTGCTGAAGCCTTTGGGTCATGTTGGACAGCGACTGTTCAAACGCGGCGACCACATGCGCCTATGGGAAAAAAAAAGTTCATGAAGAGAAAATCGTTTCGATAATATCATACGGGAGACAGTCTTCCTGAACATATATGTGAAATATTCGGTACTTAAAGTTGTTTAAAAGCTGTTCTTCGGATTTTTCTGAAGGTTTGACGAAGTACCATACTTCATCATACAGTATCATACTTGCACTTGGATCATTTGATTACCTTCTAACCCCGTATGTGCCATTTCAGGAATATCTTTTCAGAGTGGATCCAGCAGGACAGCTTGGACTTTCTGAGAACTCGGTGTCGTCTTACGTCGTTGGCGAGATTCTGAGGGACCCTTGGGAAGGAACGCATGGAGAGGGTGTACAGCAACAACAGCTACCGGAGCTCCTGCCCTGCGGTTATCTCGTCGGTGACGTACAAAACATCAAGCTGGGATTGCGAGACGGCGAATCTTCAGTTGATACGCTTGTTTTCGAAACGCTTACGCCGAAAGCTGTCATTCAAAGGTTAGGAATCGTGACGATGAAATAAATGAAAATGTTTACTTGATGGATGCAGCGTGTGAGTAGGAATAATACACCTGTAGAAGCAATCTTTTCCTAAAAGTTTTGTGTTCCGAATGATTTCTGCTACCTTGTTCGATTTCCTCTCAAGTCTATTTCTGATCAATCCTCAGATACGTTTCACTTCTAACGGAGCATCGCAGGATCATACTTAGCGGACCATCTGGGACCGGGAAATCCTACTTGGCTCGGAAACTGGCTGAGTACTTGGTGAGAAGATCTGGAGTGGTGAGGACTGCCGACTCCATTGCCACGTTCAGGTAATTTTTTTTTATTCCTCGAGTTGGACGTCGACCCCCTATAAAGATACTGGGGTTACCAAAAATTTAATCATGATGCCGAGACTTCCGGTGTGCAGAAGATATTTATGTAGAGAAAATCGCGGTGGGGTTCATCAGAACGAAGTATTGAACAAAAATTGTCGGTCCTTCCAGTGTATACTGTGTATGCATGTAGACGTGAAGTTTTGTAAGCATGAAGTGCGGCAAAGAAATGCTTCGCCGATCCTCACCTTTAATAGCTGTCCAGCAAAAATCAACCTCGAAATTTTTTGGACATCCTCAATTGATGATGCTTGGAGTTACCGTGTGAATTTTTAAACGGCTTCGCATTGTATTTAATTTGTAGATTTTTACATTTTTGTGACATTTTGGGAGATTCGAGAACATTGCGGGTAAGACAAATTTGAAAAGTTTCTTCTTTTTTCCATTAGTGTGGACGAAAAGTCGGCTGGCGAATTGCAAGCGTACTTGATGCATTTGGCGGACCAGTGTGAGTCTGCAAATGGAGCTGGGGATCTCCTTCCTCGAGTCATTATTTTGGACAATCTCCACCGTGCTGGTTCTCTGTCGGACGTGTTCTCTGGGTTCTTGAACTCCGCCAACGCCCGTTGCCCGACGATCATTGGCACGATGAGTCAGACTGCGACTACCAACACGACCAATTTGCAATTGCATCACAACTTCCGGTGGATCCTATGCGCAAACCACATGGAGCCCGTGTCTGGTTTCTTGGCGAGGCATTTGAGGCGAAGGCTGATCGAGAGTGAAGTGAAAGCAGGCTCTAAGAACCCGGAAATGTCGCGTGTTCTAGACTGGGTGGCGAGGGTTTGGTCCCATGTTAACAAGTTCTTGGAAACTCACGCGTCATCTGATGTCACTCTCGGACCAAGGTGAGAAGTGTTTTCTCGCATTAAATTCCATGAAAAATTCCTTGAACCGTCGTGTTTACTCCTGTTTTCCAGACTGTTCTTGAGCTGCCCACTGGACGTGGAATCTTCCCGAGTCTGGTTCACAGATTTGTGGAACTACTCCATCGTTCCCTACGCCATCAACGCCGTGAAAGAAGGATTGCAACTGTATGGGAAAAAGAGCCTCGGGAATGTGAACGGAAGTTCTAGCTCAAACTCGTGTCGTGGATGGGAGGACCCTGCAACCTGGGTCTTGCAAACGTGGCCCTGGACGCGTCCGCCATCGCTGGATGCCTCCCTCATTCGAATCCGACCAGAAGATGTAGGCTTCACTTCGGTAACTCACCGAAGACATTCGGCATCCACTGCAGCGTCTACATCAGGACATGTTAGTTCAGTTTTATATTTTATTCAAGTCATTTTATTGCGATCTCGAGATCGGAGCTGGCATGATGGTGATTTTATCGCGTCTCAAAACTTGAAATGAATTTTCCTGCGAATGTAAGGTGCCCATTCATTGCATGTAATTTCTTCTGAATCGGAGGATTCCGTTGATTCTGACAATTCTCAGTTTACGGGTCCAGTATTCTCGAAATATTTTTTTTGAAACTACTGTATTCGTGTCCTAAATGTTGTGCCCTTTAAGGTGTTTGAACGAAGATTATGGGTAAGCGTTGGTTTAACTGACTTTCAGACTACTTTCATCCGAACGATTTTGTTGGTCAGAAATCAGAAGCGATCATTCACTGTACCTTTCAAATCTTGACTTCATTGAAGGTAAAAAAGATGGCGCAAATTTTTCTCGCAAATGATCCTTGTTATGAAAACGGTTTGTATTGGAGCAAATATAGTTGAATATGATCATTAAATTGATTATTCGGGTGGAGGAGTCGTGTACCGTAATTAGATTGGAATATCTGAGTTAGTCTGCTTGAAAATTAGAGATTTTTCTAAATGTTAAAAGGTGAACTAGTATCTGATTGTTCGCAGGGTCAGTCGGACATCATGACATCATCCACTCATTCCGCGGGAAGTTTAATGGTCCTGGACGAAGACGACGATGGATTTCGAATCGGGCCTGACGAGTCTGAAAGTGATCCGTTGGTGAAGATGTTGAGGAAGCTGCAAGCAGCGGCTGCAGATGCCAGCGTTGGTGACCCGAAAAACACTCTGGTCAGTGCTGAAGAAACTCTGGAGGTGATCCGTGTGAACAACGGACGACGGGCGAATTCTGAGTCAAATTGAAACCGGTCACTTTTTTTTTTTCATTTGTTGTGCTTTCGCTGTAAAGCAAATTATGTTGGAAAATACGGAGAAGTAACTTCTGCATTTGCCTTGAAATGTTCGCTTGAAAATTGCGAATCGCATTTACGATTTCTGAGACGTGTTTTTTTTTTTTTTTTAAATCAGACCAACTGGGACTGCTTCAAGTTGTGCGTATTTCGGTTCGGATTATGAAGGTTTCTGTTGTCACTGTAAGTCGTTTTATGTAAGATATTTGACCACCGAATTGTTGATTGCTTCGGATACACTTTCCGCTAGTTCACGTTGAGGGGCGACGTTCTCGGGTGAGTTGCGCTGTGATATAATCCCTTAGGCGTATTTTGCTTTCCGTGTGATTTTTGGATGTAAACTTTTGCCCAGCTACGTTCTTCCCGCTTTTTGTGTGCGACTTTTTCGAAAATGTGAATGATGGAACCTTGTCCTTTTCGCGATGAATAATCCTAGTTTTTCTTCACGTCTCAAGGTGTTTTTGTGAGAACCGGAAATGAAACCAATTTGCAAACAAGTTCGTATCACGTGTAGTTTCTATTTCATTATGGATTCCTGTTTTTTTTTTTCGTAATTACGTTGTTGTAGACTCTAGAGAAACCCGGAGTGCAATAGCTGAAGAAGAGGAAGATTCAATTGGGAAGTGAATAATCGGTTCATCGTGCCAGAAAGAAATTGAGCAACTAAATACCCGGATTGAGCAACTGCCAAAATGGTAACTGTACTTTTTCCGAAACTTCACATTTCTTTTTCTTAAATGCCCAGGTTTTCTAATGAACAAAAAAGATCTAGATTTTTCGTTGGCAATTTTAAATCTAATTCTGGTTGCATTACGGTATTCTTGGGAAGATCAACATTTTTGGCAAACGAGAAGATTGGATCGGTTCGAGGCATCAACATTTTTTTAAATATCTAGATGATGTCTAGACCAAAATCTGTGTGTTTAAACAAAATTCAAGTTTTCTAATGTGAAATGTGCACGCGTTCATTCGTTCGATTCATTTCTAAAGCGACTATTTGTCCGCAGAAAGCTCGTATGGCAATAAATGTGCAAAAACCGTTGAAATCAGAGCTGGGCATTTAAAGGAAAAGAAACCAACCGCTACTCTTTGTAAATCTTGGAAAAACTTCGTTTCGTGCCTGGAATCGTAATATCAAGTTAATCGAATGAACCGATTCCCTATGCGGGTCTCGTCAACAAAAATACTCGATGAGTGAAGTTCAGTTCAAAATCCGTCGTCCTGTTCCCAGGCCACCACGTGGGTGAGAGACTGCACAGTTTCCGTTTGTTGCTCCTCCAGTTCCTGTTTGCGCTGTTGTGCCGCAGTCCAGGGCCGCTCTCTCTTCTGTTGCTCAGATTTCTTCTTTTGTTTCTCCGCTGTTTCTCGATTGATGGCGATGTCATCCTTGGTTTTCTTGCTAGTACCACTTCCTGCTGTACTGGAGTCCATGGCTGCCTGGATTTGCTGCTTTTGTTGCGCCTGCAAGTTCTTCGCTTGGAGGGACACCCCTGCTGCGACTTTGCTCTCCGCCACGCGTTGCTTAGTGAACTTCTCTGGAGCTGCTTCCACGTATGGTTTGATGATGAGGAAAAAATGTTCAATCACGACTACAAGATTTGTGCACTGTACTTATACGAATGTCATGTACATATTTTATGTCATATTTCCAAAAGGAATCGATTCACAATGTTTTGGAGTGTCTTTCTGCGAATTATCCTGATCCATTCCAGAAAAAACTTGTGTTCGCAGAAAAATATTTTTTTTTAATAACTGGCGTTTAATTTATAACCGAATTTGTAAGCTTTGAAGCTCCCAGTAACTTTTCTGGATTTGATCGGAAGCGATTGGGATTTATGAATCCAGGCTTTATAATTGGTCCTGGAACATATTTTTAAAATTTGGAGTGTGGTGATGGATAAAGCCACTTATTTGCGTGAGTCAGCAAAATGCTTCCTTCGTGGTGATTTGGATTCACGAAAGAAAATGTATATAGAGGTAACACAAGAGTCTGATTGTGTCTCGTCTATTCATCTCTTCGAAATGGGAAGTATGTATGAGCAAAAATCTGGAAAATTTTTAGAAGGATGTATTGTAGAGGATATTGAACATTTTCGATAGCTTGCACAACCCCCACGAAAGTTCTGGCGGTATTGTCGATAATATATCAAGACGAGTGTCAGTATAGATTCCCATGAATATTTATTTTTATATCATAGCACAACTTGGATTACCAGAAAGTGTGAACCGATTTTATTTTATTTACATTTTTTACTTACTGCTTGAGGTCTTGCTGCTTTGAGACTGTTGGACTGATGCTGCTCCTGCAGAGGGCCTCGCAGCCGCTGCAGCAGCGCCATCTTGTGAATCCTCTGGTTCGCTGTCTGAGTCGTAAGATACATCAGAAAACCCGGGGTTGTCAAAGTCCAAGATGGCATCCATGGACGACGAGTGGTNGGTCTCGTCAACAAAAATACTCGATGAGTGAAGTTCAGTTCAAAATCCGTCGTCCTGTTCCCAGGCCACCACGTGGGTGAGAGACTGCACAGTTTCCGTTTGTTGCTCCTCCAGTTCCTGTTTGCGCTGTTGTGCCGCAGTCCAGGGCCGCTCTCTCTTCTGTTGCTCAGATTTCTTCTTTTGTTTCTCCGCTGTTTCTCGATTGATGGCGATGTCATCCTTGGTTTTCTTGCTAGTACCACTTCCTGCTGTACTGGAGTCCATGGCTGCCTGGATTTGCTGCTTTTGTTGCGCCTGCAAGTTCTTCGCTTGGAGGGACACCCCTGCTGCGACTTTGCTCTCCGCCACGCGTTGCTTAGTGAACTTCTCTGGAGCTGCTTCCACGTATGGTTTGATGATGAGGAAAAAATGTTCAATCACGACTACAAGATTTGTGCACTGTACTTATACGAATGTCATGTACATATTTTATGTCATATTTCCAAAAGGAATCGATTCACAATGTTTTGGAGTGTCTTTCTGCGAATTATCCTGATCCATTACGGAAGAAACTTGTGTTCGGAGAAAAATATTTTTTTAAATAACTGGCGTTTAATTTATCTTAACCGAATTTTTAAGCTTTGAAGCTCCCAGTAACTTTTCTGGATTTGATCGGAAGCGATTGGGATTTATGAATCAGGCTTTATAATTGGTCCTGGAACATATTTTTACATTTTGGAGTGTGGTGATGGAAAAAGCCACTAATTTGTGTGAGTCAGCAAAATGCTTCCTTCGTGGTGATTCGGATTCACGAAAGAAAATGCATATAGAGATAACACAAGAGTCTGATTGTGTCTCGTCTATTCATCTCTTCGAAATGGGAAGTATGTATGAGCAAAAATCGGGAAAATTTTAGAAGGATGTATTGTAGAGGATGGTGAACATTTTCGATAGCTTGCACAACCCCCACGAAAGTTCTGGCGATATTGTCGATAATATCAAGACGAGTGTCAGTAGATTCCCATGAATATTTCTTTTTTATATCATAGCACAACTTGGATTACCAGAAAGTGTGAACCGATTTTATTTTATTTACTTTTTTTTACTCACTGCTTGAGGTCTTGCTGCTTTGAGACTGTTGGACTGATGCTGCTCCTGCCGAGGGCCTCGCAGCCGCTGCAGCAGCGCCATCTTGTGAATCCTCTGGTTCGCTGTCTGAGTCGTAAGATACATCAGAAAACCCGGGGTTGTCAAAGTCCAAGATGGCATCCATGGACGACGAGTGGTACTCAGGATTCATCTGGAATCCGAAGAGCCGCGACTTGGCGGGTGCCTTCGGTCGCCAGAATTTATCCTTCAAGCTCTTCCTCGAATTGCGTCTCCGCTCACGGGCCTCGTCTTCCTTGCTTCTCTTATTGGCCATGGCCTGACGTTTGTCCTCCGACACTATCTTCACACTAGCTGGGACCGAATGAGCTGGGTCAGCCGGTGCAACGACCACGGTTTGCGGGGCTGCGGGAACAGCCAGAGAACCCGGAGCGTAGGACTTTTTGCACGGCTCCTCGACCGGTGGCTTGGGGGCATTTGGGATCAATTGCGGGTTCGGAGCACCAGCAGTTCCGGTCAGAGGCAACGAGGGCAGAGGGTCGCCGTTTTCGTCCCTGGGGGTCTCGTCCAGCACGGCTGGAAGACCGTAGTTTGGGGTTCCGTCGGGAATGTCGAGGTCGGCGTTGAAGGCGAGTTGCGAGAGCGCGTTGGAGAAACGGGTCTCCTCGCCGGGTTTCAGTTCGTCTTCTTCTTCTTCGTCCTCTTCGTCTGGTTCGAGGCCGTGTCCGATCCCGGCGATTTTCCCGAAGGGATCTGCCACGGGTCTGCAGCAAAAGAAAATACGAAATTCAGCAAAGTCAGCAGTAGTGATAAGAGTACTGCGTACTGTCAAACCCGATGAAGACGCTACCGCCATAATAAGTGAAGAAGTGGTTTTTACCCTTTTTTACTCGAGTACACCAGCAGTAAATTNAAAATACGAAATTCAGCAAAGTCAGCAGTAGTGATAAGAGTACTGCGTACTGTCAAACCCGATGAAGACGCTACCGCCATAATAAGTGAAGAAGTGGTTTTTACCCTTTTTTACTCGAGTACACCAGCAGTAAATTTGGGCAAAAAATTAGGTGCGCGTCAAAGTCATCGGGTATACAAAACTACATAGGGGCTTTTATTTTTTTATGGAAACTTTTCTCCCCGCTTGCAACAATTTTTTTTCGTTATTTATTTTAATAATATACTGTACTATCATTTGAATGAAACAAAAATATGACCATTGAATGCAATTTTTATATTAGCATACTTGCCAAATGGATGAAAGGATTTTGCGTGATAGCTTTGGAAGTGATGTCAGTTCACAAAGAGGAAATATCCAGGGAGCTCTATATAAATGCTCACTTCTGTTCTTCGGCAGGCACAACGATAGGTTGCACTGGTGCACCGGGTTGTCCGAGTTGCTGCTGTTGTTGTTGTTGAGCAGCTATTGCAGCGGCGCCCTTTTTCTTTTTCGGCGGCGGAGGCAAAGGACCTTCTCGATTGAAAATCTCGTTTCTCAACTGTTCGCCAGTGCACATCCTTTTCCTCAATTCCGCGATCGTGCATTTGCCAACTCGCTACAAAATTAAAAGGCGTTTTAAAAATTGAAAACAAAAAATTTTGATGAGCAGCAATGCAAAAATCCGCCTACTTTCCAGTTGCTGAGAGCGCCTTTTCGTTGCCTCGCTCTAGTCTTGGCTTTGCTTTTGATCACCATGACTGCACGTTGAGCAGTTCCATCTTCGACGCTTCCTCCGAGTGGGATGGAGTAGCTCATCAAATGCTCCTTGGCGTCCTTTTGGTTAACTGCTCTCTCCAAATTGATGACAATATTCGCCCACTGTATTTATAACCAACCAAGCGAGAAAACACGCTTGGTCATTTTTTAAAAAGTTCGGAATGCTTCTTTTCACTAGGAACACTCCGGCGTTCCTGGCCCTGATTTTCTGTGGTTTCAAATAGATGTCACATGAATCGTCTGGTCCGAATTGTGTTTGATTGTGCTCCACTAAAGGTACGCTTTAGTCATTCGCAGATCAACTCGTTATTCAAGTAATATCTACCGGAAGTTCTTGGAGACAAATTCAAGAGTGTATAAGTCGAAAAAATATTGGAAAGTATTCCGGAATATTTTACGCAACTATCGGCGGACAGATTAAACAAGTTTATCTTTAAAACTGACGGGGAATCGATCGAACCTATATTCAGATGTTTGATGTCGGATCTTCTTTTCAAAATCATAGGAAAAATGAGCAATGAAAGAACAATTCTAATGTGCTTCCCTTGGTTTTTCCTCGTGAGGAGATGGAAAGAGAAGAATCAGAAATAAATGATCTTTTCCAAATAAGCTGAAGCAAGGAATTCATTTCGCGTATGATGTTGAATACTATGAAGTACTACAAAAAAAAGTTGAGGAAGGGATTTTTTTCATACAATAAGGCGGTATAAAATGCTTTCAGCTTAATCGGGGAGTCATCGCAACAAATTTAATTTGCGTGTGTTTATATTCCTAAACAAAACTATCGGCATAAAATATTTGAATGTATGCGTGTGACAAGAATTCAAACCTGCTTGACGAATTCCTTCTCGCTCCTGTCGATGACCATGGCATAAGTGTTGCCCATCATGGCGATCAACATGTTGAGGAGCAAAATGGGCACCATGACCATGAACACGCAGAAAACAAATGTCGTCAGCACCGGGTAACTCGTTTTGTCGTGATCCATCTGACAAAGCGAAGATGAAAGAATTTTTCGTGATTATATACAGTATATATACCTTTTATGTTAATCATTTATATTCATCAAAGTCGTATATATGAGTTATATTCACGTCATATTCGCCCAAAGTCATGTGGAACAGTCCCATCCAAGTGCTGGCGTAAGAGGCGTACGTTGTTCCGCTCCGGTCTTCGTGTCCCATGTAAAGGAAGTAGAAAGTTTGAGAGAACCCCAGCATGATGACGGTGTAAATGATGCCAAAGGTGACCATGTCTCCAGTGATCATGCTGAAGATCATCGTCACGAATGGACCAGTCAACCTCACAGCGCTGCGAAACGAAAGAAAAGCCCATTTTGCATTGCCAAGTTGCCTGGATAAGCAAGTATCTGGGTTGTCCCACTTGGACGCGACCTTGGTTATTTCTAGTGTAGGTATGACTGTAAAAAAATAATTCTTGATATAGCCCACAATGTTGTAAGGTTCTGAGTTTCTTTTTTTAGAATTTTAAACGCACATTTTTCAATTTAGAGCATGATGATGAGTAGTTGTGACCAAAGTTCTCCATACCCATGTCACACACAGGGTGCTAAACAAAATTTCAAGCCAGCTGAAGATTCGAAGTCCGCTGTTGTTTTAACCATCATCTAAAATTTAGAAAAGGTATAATGTTTAAAACAACAGCAAAATTTCAAATTTTAGCTGGCCTGAAAATATTTTAGCGCCTTGTGACATGGAACTCCAGCCGCAACTATAGAAAGTTTTTACTCATCATAGTTCAGTAAATTGAAAATTTTGTTATCAAAATCCGGAAAAAAATGCCAAAACCTTACAACCTCATGGGCTGCATCATACTTTTTTTTTTTTAAAGTCATATCTATACTCCAGAAATAACCAAGGTCGCGCCCAAGTGGGACAACCCGCGTAAAGCTTTGAACCAATTTCTGACAAACCCGGCGAAGAACATCAAGAAGAACCAGGAACAAGGGACAGCAACCGCCAACACAGTGTCTTCCCACTTGGTGCACCAGTCGCATTTACCGTCCCGAGATATTTTTATAGCCCTAAACGGAACGCAGCCCAGTAACATGAAGTTGCTCAGGAGGAAAATTGCCTTCGGAGGAGTATGAAGCTGAAAAAAAATAATAATAATTCAAGCTTTAGTCTGGCTCAAAGAACGTAGCCTCATTTTCAGATTTTTTGAATGAAATTTCCCTAAAAAAACAGTAAAAGCACTGTAATAAATTTGGAGATCAGCAGCTCGCGAATACGAAAGTTTGAGATGAACTTGCTCGAAGTCGCGTGAGTGACTTTGAAATATTTTGCAAATTCATTATAGGAGGGATCTAACGAGCATTTTTGGAATAGGAATTGAAACAGCATACTATTGAGCTGAAAAGCAATTATTCTTCCAGAAAATAAATTGTTGGGGCAAGAAAAAAGTCATACTGGTTTTTACATATTTTTCAAACATTTTTTTGCATAAGTAACCCTGGCAGCTTTCTGATCTTCACTCAATAAATGAGGCGCCCATCTCGCAGACTTTTTGATACACTGCCTTCAGATATGCAACTAGCTGGGAATGAGAATGCGGCGGCGGCGGCTGTTGATGAAGATGGCGGAATTACTTTGGAAAAAGTGGAGGCAACCCTTGTAATTACAGTAATGCCACGTCAATTCCAAGAATTCTGAAGGAGAAGTTGAGCTGACGAAAAAAAAATCTGCGAGATCGATGCCTCATCTGACAAGGGAAGAGCGAATATATCTGCCAGAGAGACTTTTTCAAAAAATATGTCTAACAGTTCTGAATTTGTTTGTGTGTCAAAGCATGTTTTTTTTAAAACAATTATTGTTGTTCAGCTCAGTCATATGCCATTTCAATTTCCATCCCAAGAACTTCTGTCAGACCCCTGCTAGCACAGTCATATGCCATTTCAATTTCTATCCCAAGAAATTCTGTTGGACCCTTGTTACTGTTAGCTCAGTCATATATGCCATTTCAATTTCTATCCCAAGAACTTATGTTAGACCCCTGTTAGCTCAGTCATATGCCATTTCAATTTCTATCCCAAGAAATTCTGTTAGACCCCTGTTAGCTCAGCAGTCATAGTCCATTTCAATTTCTATCCCAAGAACTTCTGTAAGACCCCTGTGAGCACAGTCAAATGCCATTTCAATTTCTATCCCAAGAAAATTCTGTTAGACCCTTGTTACTGTTAGCTCAGCAGTCATATGCCATTTCAATTTCTATCCCAAGAACTTATGTTAGACCCCTGTTAGCTCAGTCATATGCCATTTCAATTTCTATCCCAATAACTTCTGTTGGACAAAAAATAGACCCCTCGCATGCCCACATTATTTCTGCTCACTCACCAGACTGCGCATGAATGCCGGGAAACCCTGATTGGCAATCTCTCCCCCGAGCTGAACAAATATGTAGGAAAGACATCCGAGCAATGTGGCGATCTCGAATGTGTATCACATTATTTCTGCTCACTCACCAGACTGCGCATGAATGCCGGGAAACCCTGATTGGCAATCTCTCCCCCGAGCTGAACAAATATGTAGGAAAGACATCCGAGCAATGTGGCGATCTCGAATGTGTACCTCACGACCTCTACCCCTTCTTCTATTTCGTCATAATCGTCAATCGGCGTCGGGGTCGTCGTCGGGAAACGCCAGGAATTCCGGGATCTCTTTGCAGAGATCCTCTCGTTCGCGTCTTGGTATTCCCCTTTCCTCAATGCCACTGCTCCAGTGAGCATGAGAAGGTGGATGAAGACGATCACCAAACGCTTCAAGAACTGAAGCTATGTTGGTTTTTTTATTTTTTAAAAGAAACAAAAAGGTTTGTTTATTCGAAGAAAAAAAAATAATGTAATTAATTAATTTATTAATTTATTTACCCTGGCAAACGTTTTCCATTTCTCCTCGAGCAGCCTTTGAATGACGCCTCCTTCCAGCATGTCCAAGTGCTCCGAGCTGTCGCCATTGATGATGATCATCAATGCGGAATTCCAGTCTGGAATGAGCAAAATTTCCTCATTGGCATAAAGTTTCCAAAAAAAAAAATTACCGGGCGAGCGAAAATGCAGCGTTTTTAGTACAGTACAGCACAATACAGTATTTTGAACTCATCATGGATAAATCACACTCATCATGGATGGAATCATGGATAAATTGCACCAAGATTGACGAATAATATGCCAAGAATTCCAGTCTGAGAAGGGCACAATTTCCCCGAATATGCTTGAATGGTTCCCAACAGTTACTGCTCGGCAGTGGGAAATTAAAAATTTCCAGAGTCTTCAAGTGTGTATTTTTTACCCCGAGATTGATTGATTGACAATTGTATCCTGATCATTTAAACAATAATTCCTGAAAACAAGGCGAATGCTCTCGATTTAAAAACAAAATTCCGCGAGGATAATGCAATGAACCCTCGTATGCGTAAGATAAATGTAGAGGCAAACAAAATTGGAATTTCTTAATGATATAAAGAATATGACCGATTTTGATGGCCAATTACTGTACATCTACTCACGCGAAAATAAAATATTATTCCGATGACTAAAAGTATGGGTTTAATTCGATTTACGCGTTTCTTTCTGAACAGCGATTCAAAAAGTATGTATATCTTTTACATTCTTTGGAATTGGAACAAATACGCAACTCGTTTTCCCAGATGGTAGAATGGTATCCAGGGCGTTCAAAGGATATCCCGAGCACGTGATGTTTGAGTATCTCCAGAATTCAATGCAGCTCAACTCCAACATCTCTTGAAAAATGAGATTACGACCGAGTTTGCATGCCAGAGTCAAAGGCGTGAGTCCGTTGTTGTTGAGGATTCCGTTCTTGGCCGGACGCTTTGGGTGCCTCAGGGCGTATCCATACATATCCTATATTTCGGAGACATTATTAAAAAAAATCCAAATTTCCACCTATTTTTTAAAATCAATTATTCCTATCTGCAGAAAATCAATGCGTTTTCGACGCATAGAGTTTCTTGTGCGGGATTTTTACTGCCGAGAATAAGGTAGATTATTTAAAAAAAAATTCTTGATGCATTGAGCTTCTTGCTCGGGACTTTGAATGCTGAAAATGTTGATTATTCAAAAATGTTTTCTGTTTCAAACTAAGCGGATGGATTTATTATCGAAGGAGGATTCAGGATTGCTGACGTGTGAGTAAGACATCATATTTTGCACGGCACTAGAGGTGAACCAAAAATATAGTTATTTTTGTAAAAGCAGTTCTACCCTCTTTTCCAGGGTTCCTTCATGGTTAAACCTTGAAATACATGATCGATGGAAAATGTATTTCCCGTTCTTTTCTTCCAAAATAACGTTTGAATGGGATAAGAATAAGGAACATGTTCCCTTTGCTAGAACTGTGATATTTTTGGAAGATATATTCGAAAGATTTTGGAAAAATTATCAGAAAAATCCTTGAAAAATTATAAAAAAATAAGAATTTCGTCCGGTCGTTTTCCAGAATTATTTGAATAAACGAGGAGTGGAGAAAAGTTAGGAACCCCTCATCGGCTTTCGAAAAAATTTGCATTCCTCGAGTTTTCCTGCGAAGTTATTTTCTTTGGACGATCTTATTTCTTGCCATATACCCCTGCGGCTGAAATAAGAATTTATTACGTTTTTCGATAGAAAATGGAATATGCATTTTAATCGACCTATTTTCTAGGGGATGATATTCGCCCTGCTTAAACATATTGCCCGGAACTAAGAGAATGTGACGACGTTTCTTGCTTTTGATCCTTTTATAAAGCCTGGGTGTATATATGCGCCAATAAAATCTGGTTCGGCTTAATAGTTTTGTTTTTTGAAAGAAAAAAAAAAGAATCGTGTTATAGTGATGCACCAGTTTGTCGTTGACCACAAGGACGTGGAGAACCATGTTGCCCAGAGAGTCCTGAAGATCCGCATCAGCTCCTTTCTCAATCAGGAAGTTGTAGACACCTTCGTTGCCACAGGTTGCTGCCCAAGCCAAGGGGTACTCTCCCAGGTACGCCAGACCATCGTAGCTGGTTTCTGACAGTGGTTGAGAGCATTGCTGATCGTACGGCTGGAAAAAGCTTCCTGTATTGAATAGAAAAATTGACTATATACGAGTACTCTATTTGTATACAGTACCATACGAGGGTTCTAACAAAAGTTCTCGGAATAGAAATGAAAATGGCGTACAATCGCGCTGAAAAAAATTATTCTTTAGAGGAAACATATTCTTTGGCACCAAAAAAAAAATTCAGCCCTGCTTGACAATTTTCTTTAATGTTTTGCAAAATTCACCTGGCAGAGTTTTGCTCATCACTCAACAGATGAGGCGCCCTTCCTGCCTTTTTTTTTTTTTGTGGCGGCCAAGGTGGCGGCTGTTGATGAAAATGGCGGAATTACCTTGGAAGACCTGGAGGCAACCCTTTGAATTAATGCCACATTGATTACAAGAATTCTGAGGGGAAAGCTGGGCTACAAGAACAACAAAACTGCAGGAAGGGCGCCTCATCTGTTGAGTGGAGAGCAAAACTCTACCAGGTGAATTTTGCAAAACATTAAAGAAAATTGTCTAACAGGGCTGAGTTTTTTTGGTGCCAAAGAATATATGTTTTCCCTGAATAATAATTTTTTCCAGCTCGATTGTACGCCATTTCCATTTCTATTCCGAGAACTTTTGTTAGAACCCTCGTATGATACATTTTAATAAACATGTCATTTGACAAAAATTATTTCCTACCAATGGCTCTTTGGTTGATGGTCGCTCCACACTCCACCAATGACGTTGCCAAGTCGCTGTTGTGGTAAGCTATGGCTAAATGTAAAGCACTTGCACCTGTCACATGCGAAAAAGTGGCGAACTTCGTATTAATATCTCAAGACTACGAAAACCAGCATTACAACTTTTAATGGTTAAAAAAAATCAAAATGTATATAACGTTAAAAACGAATATTTCTTCACACTCGATTTTCTTCGCAAACGAGCTCGATAAATGAAAGTTTAATTCAATTATTTAATGAGTTATTCACGAATGAATTTTAAAAAATACGCATGGGAAATTCCACCTGATTCTCTGATTAATTGTACATATATACGGTGGTATCGAAAAAGCCGAACTAAATTTTTGCCCAGAATTTTCTCACACTTTTCATCTTGAAAGTTTCTTATAGCTCTCGCGATTTTCGGAAAATTTCTCAACATTTTTCAATTTGTTACGTTTGCCCTCATTTATTCAAAAATCTCTCAAACACAAATTCGGAGAACATCAAATAAAATATTAGATAACATTCCATGGATTTCAAGCATTTTATGGCGTATTACAGTATATATAAGTGCATGACTCCTTCCAACTAATACAATCTTCGGGAAGGAAAATTCAGTGTGCAAATTCGTACCATTTTTGTTAGTTCAAGTACTGTATGCAACAATTTAAAAGCATAATCATTTTAGTCGAGTTTCAGCAGAGATTGAAATGATGACTGCGAATCATTAGTAAAATCAACAGACTCTTCTGCATTTACACAAGTGAAATGTAATTTGCCAATTGCATTTTGCATTCGTCATAGGCCGCATTAATTTTATTTTCAAGGCCCCTCAAGAATTTTCCAGGCGCATTTTATACTCAAGGAAGGACAGTGAGACCCCAAAATTCAAACAGCATAATTGGTGCATCAAGAGTGTCCCCAAGTCAAAATGTCCCTAATTTGAGTCTCATCCCCTTAGACGTACATTACATAATTTTCAATTGGTGTTTTATGGACAAGATATTCAACATAATTCCATGAAAATTAAAATTGTCCCCCAATTGAAACTGATTCAATCAATATATTTCAACACAATATGGACATATGGAGAATTGAATACTGATACATCTGTACAGTACATAGAAATGTTGGCATTCTCTGTAAAAATAACATTCAAGTGAAAAAGAGAGAAGGAAGTCCCTCTATGCTGGAGGTAATATTTTAAAATTACCTAAATGGGTTGTAAATTGGTGAGAGAAATGCCCAAGAACTTTTCTTAAATCAATTTTAGGGTTGGAAATATATCTATTTCTTGTAATTTGTCCTGAAATTTATTTGCAATTTTATCACAAAATGTCCCTATATGTCGAGTCAGTGTCCTCATGTTATTGGGCCTTTTTTATTAATTTTGTATGGGGAAATAAGTGTCCCTATGTCGAATTGTCTGCATGTTGAGGTGTCCGCATGTGGGGGGGGGGGGATCTCACTGTACTGAACGTTTTTGCGCCTCTTTTTTTTTCCCCCTGCGAAAACCGCTCACCGAGATACTCTTCCCCTTCAACGACATCTAGTGCCAACCGAGGGAAGATTTTGATGAGGAGATTGGCCAGTTTCGTGTGAATCTTGGTGTCGCACATGATGAGAACATGCAGGAGACTTTCCCCGAGAGCCCCGCGGTATTCCATGCGCCAACAAGCCGGATGGTCTGTCCAATGCACCAGAGGGTCGTGGACACTCCTAATCAGCTGCCGCTTGCCCCAACGTCCGTGGTACTCGAATGACCTGAAGGTATGAGGTCGCACACTTTGCAGGCAGAACACCTGATTCTCTTGACCGTACGTATATATTTTCCACACACACAAAAATTGAGCCGAATTTATTTGGTAAAATCCCCATTTTTCGCGTTAAATACTGCAGTACTCTTACGATCCGAAAATGGAAAAGGCAGGCCGGGAAACCCCTCGCAGAAATCACTGCAGCATCATAAATTCAAGATAAAAAGCACGACCCATATCATCAACATCTTCGGAAAATTTCGAAAATCTGACACTGATGAAAAATAAATTTTAAAAATATTTTTTCGATTTTGTAAATAATGTTTTTAAAATTTAAACTTTTCATGTAAGCTCAAGACCAAAACTCTCGATGTTTCTGGACCATAGGTCAAATATTTTGCTAAAATATTTTGCCATTTTCACCGTCAAATATTTTGCAGCGCCTGAATGCGTCATCTTGTCCAACTACAGTTCATGTTTTCTGCATTGTTTTATATTATCTTTTGCTCTTTTTGAAATCAATAAGAAACTCAAACTTATATTTAAATAATTTTTCATCGAAGAGAGCTGCGAAGTTTTTCAATGAAAGACAAATTCTTTTAACTGGCTTGGATTTCAAGAAGATGTCTGCGGGCGCAGAAAATAAACACAGTACCAATCAGTGAAAAGGGCTCTGGATTCCAGTTCAACCCAAATTTAAATGTACGATAGATCTTTTTTTTTAAAGTGTGCACAAGTAAGACACAAACCCCTTATTTTCAATACGATTGAATTTTGTTACCAAGTACTGTATCTCGTTACACGATAAACTACTGCTTAAAACGAATTTGTTTTTTCCCTTCCCAAAAGAGCCACAATAATTCTACAGCATACAGTACAGTATTCTTAATTTAATTTCAACGCATTTTTGTTGAAAATTAAGCTCTTTTTAAGGTCCCAAACGCTTCCTTGTAACAAGATTCTACAGTATGCATTTCTTGAAAGAAAACAAAAAAAGAGGTTCCTGTGATGGCTCAGGTACGGTACTTGAGCAAACACAGTACAGGAGTTTTTAATGCCCACCCAAAGGCCTGGAGCAGACTGTCTCTCCGACTCTCCAGGCCGTCCATGAGGGCGACTTGTCCGTTGGTTGCAGACCCCTTGGAAGCCCCATTGCGACTGTTGATCCCCGGGGAATCCCCGTTGCGCAATTTGGTCGCATCCACGCCCAAGAGCAGCCCGGATTCCGCATCCAGGGCCGTGCCCGAGGGCGACGACGTCATCCCGGATCCGCGTGACGACTGTCGAAAGGGTATAACCCAGTCATCAGGGATGATGTTCTATTAATACCCCTCAGAGCCACAAGGAATAATGTGAAAGAAAAGAAAATGGGCAAAGAAATGACGCGTAGAAAAAAAAATAAAAATAAAAAAAGATTCGACGAAAAACGTCGGCTGAAGGGTGAACTGCTCAAGTATATAAAGCGGGACTTTCTTGTCTCGACATGAACGAATGAATTTCTCTGTCTTGGAAAAAAATTGCAGTTTTACTAGACAAAAAAGAGAAATTTACATGATCAACATAGGTATGAGACAATTTTCAATATTTTTTAGTTTTGATGTTCAGCATGGTCCTGTAAAAAGTTGACTAATCCTAAACCATACTTAAGTTCGCTTCCTGTATAATGGCTGGAGCTAAATCAGCACTTCGACAACAGAGTGCAGCTCCTGAAAAAATGGCTGAGAGTCTGAAGAAAGTTTATCAAGTGTTCAAAAAGATCACGTTTTGAAGAATTACAAAAGATTAGATTCCGAAGAATCAGAAAAATCAGATTCTGAAGAATCAAAAGATCAAATAAGAATAATTGGAAAATTCGGTATGAAAAATCACAAGATCACGCGTATGAATAATCAGAATATCAGATATAAAGAATCAGAATATCAGATATAAAGAATCAGAATATCAAGATAAAAACAAATCATATATTAAGAATCAGCGTTCTTCAACTTATCTTTAAAAAACAATCCTCATACAGTATTTGAGACAGTACAAATACAATTCCTTTTTTTCGTTAAAAAAAGTGATGCCTTTTTATCCAAAACTCTGGGAATATTCATATGCCAGATTAATCTTCCAAATCCTCCATTTCTGTTATTAAAAAATAGAGTGAAGAAATGATAGCTGTTTTTGAAAACTTCGTGGAATCATTGAAAATTTTCATTTTATACGTTAGTCTAGGCAAAGTTAACATTCTGGAATTAAAATAGCTGGCAGGATAAATACGGAAAAGTTCATAAGCATGGGTCACCTTTTCCCCCATTTTTTTCATAACAGATGGCGTATCAAAGCAGCCACGAATAGTTCATGTAAAATCATTTGGAAGCGAATTTACCGGATTTTTTTTTTTTAGAAGCTAGCTCCAACGATTTTGTACAGAGATTCGTATAATTAAAAGAAAAACTATATGCTTTTTCCTGGTCCACCCTTTGAATTAAAGCTTGCAAACTTCCTTTAAATCTTGAAGCAAAGCCTTAATAAATGAAAAACGTCAATTTCTCGCTCACTGATGTCTCTATAACACGAGTCTTTAACATGCCCGACTACCCAAAATAAACTAATGATCGAGAAAGCCTGCACCTCTTGCAAAAACGCTAGAAATACCTGCAAAAAGCTCTCGCTGAAACACCCCGATTCTAAGAGCATTTCTGCTTAAAAAAAAAGGTCTTCAGTCTACAAAAAAATGTCACATTCCACAGAACATCTCAAATGATGAAAGCGACTGTGTTGGATTCTATCAAGGTACTTCAAAAATATGAGTAACGGATGGAAAAAAATGGTTCTTGTAAGCCTGAAGTATCTCACCAGTATGACAGACAAGAGTCGAAACAATTCCTGGGGAACTGGTGGCTATTTTCGGGAGAAGATATATGCGACACCATTTTTATATCTACTTATCTTTATGACAGTCTAGCTCGAAAAATCTTTTTGTTGTTGTTGTTGTTGAAGTTATTAATGCAAATTAACTCCGGAAATCAAGTGGAAAGACCAAGAATTAACTTCTAAAATTCCAAGGACTTCGACGAATCAACGTTTTAAAGTACAATGGAAAGTTCCATGGTGGAGTCAACTTTTTTTTAAACAAAAGCTGAGCGCATTTTTTGATTCGTTTATTCACAAACTAAATATGCTCATCTCATGCTTTTTTCGGCGCTTTTTTTTTTACAAGCACAACGTACTTATTTATAGCTTGAAAACTATATGAACAATTGAATTCGACGCGGAATATTGACTCACCACCGAGCTGCCTCTTCCTCGACAGAACCATTTGAAATAATCCGTTTTCGTTATGGTCTTGCCTTTTCCGTTGTTGTAAAGAAAAATGCCAAATTGTTCCTCAATCAGCTTTTCCACTTCTTTTGGGCCTCCGATGTTGTATGCGTCTAGTAATTCTCCGCCTCCGAGGTAGTTTGCTAGTTTGTACAGTAGACAATCGTCCTCCGAGGATGCCTGTAGACAAAATGAATGCAATTGATCAATTTCTTTACCATTTTTTAAATCCTTTATGCGAATCTAAAACAGCTTTTCACATGCAAACATGATGGGTTTCATCAGAACTGTGTGCCACAATAACTGCGCCACTCCCATATAATGACTGTTGTCTCGGCCACATTGACAAAAAACACGTAGCCAAAATGCAAACTATTGTCTCTGATTTTTGCTGAACTCTTATTGTGATGAAGTTTTATTTTGCAAGTTTAAAAAAATGTTTTAAAAATTTTGAATACTGCATGAAAATGAAACCAAAGGATTGTACAGTTATGAATGAATGAACAGAAAGCTTTATTTTATGCTTTTAAGCATTCACAAAGTGCAATCAACATTCCCACATCCACACCCCCTCCCCACCCAAACCAAATCTATTCAAAGGCATTCAATCAATTCAGAATGGGAAACAGAGAAAAAAGCTGTATATGGACACCAAAATAAACGACAACAAAAACATTCCACAATGTACAACTGCACAACTGATATGTATGTGTACATCCCTTCTCTCCGTGACATTGAGAATAAAATATCATTAACAAGAATTGCAGCATAAGCCATAATTATATCAACTGCAGCAGTTACTGAACCCAATTCAAAGCACAAGGTCTTCAGCCTGTTCCCAGATAAGGTTTAGTGAATGAATGAATGAACAGAACACTTTATTTGCCACTTTTCAGCGTTCACAAGGCACAACCAAGACTCCCGCATCCAAACCCCCTCCCCGCAAAACCCAACTCCCCCAAAGACATTCAGTCACTTCAAAGCATGAAACAAAGCACAAACCAATCACAAAAACAAAAGAGAACACACTCCACAAAATAAAACTTGACATCCAACATGTGTGCATACACCCACCCATCCCCCAATATTGAAGACAAAGTAGTAGTAAAAGTTTATTTAAAGCACAAGGTCTTCAGCCTGCTTCTGTATGAGTTTTAGTTGAATGAACAATTTAGAGAGAATTTTAGATGAGAAATTGTATAAGGCCAACAGTTCATCTTGATCCTTTATGATTTCAGAAAGGGTCTCTTCATTGAATTCCAATACTTGTAAATCTTTCTGAAGCTCATTTCTATCATTATGGAATGCTGGAAATGCAGTTATTGCATTACAATTTTTGAACATCATATTCCAAAGAAGTACCGTACTGAATATATTCTGCGCAAGTACCTGTTGTCACAGCCTGACAGGTCGACAGATGTCGTCCCTGGAAACCATACATACGGAGACATCTCGCGATGAAAAAGTGCATTAGGGCAGCATGGAAAATATGGCGGAAAACGAGCTGACCTCGGGGTGACTGGTCAAGGAATCAGACCAGGTCAACAGCAAGATAATCAGAAATATGCAGAAAACGACAGAAGACGATTGTCTCGAGTGACGAATCGATTTTATAGTTCGATTCAGCAGATATTCGCTGCGAAATTCGGAAAACGTTTTCCTGCAAAGTTTCGTTTTTTTTTCATTTCTTTGGCCCCTTTTTCTCGTCCCCCCCCCCCTCCCTCTTCTTAACNCCTTTTTTCCCCCCCCCCCCCCCCCCCGTTGTTTTGTATCTGAAGATGAAATCCCTGCATTGAAATTAGGGAAATCGGGATTTTGAAAAATCAATTTTTTAAAACCCTGCGCTATGCAATACTTTACGAGATTGAAAAATATTTCTGGATTGCAAAAAAAATTAATCTAGAGAAAAATCAAGAAACTCAATCACCTGAGATATGACGCGGTCCAGAACCGAACCCGCGACCCGGGTTTGTTGATTCCTCGAGCACAAACTTCCCATTGTTTCGGAATGCTGCTGTGCAGCAGTTGAAACAATGATTTCACGGCCCTCTCTCAAACCAAATTTTCAGCTTTCAACAGGTCCTCATGTTTTCAGCACATCTTTTCTTTCCGCCTTTCTCGGACACAATCTGGGACGAAAGTTTTTTTTTTTTTTCACCAGCAGCAGCAGCAATGCGGAATATAGGAAAGGATTTGAAACTGGGCTGAAGAAAAAGGCCAACTGCGACCTAGGTCGGTCTCAGCGGGTCGCTGCATGCAGAGCCAGCACTGAGAATTGGGTCCCCAAATCGACCTAACCCCCCCTCGTCCATCCTGGAGCATTTTCTTGCATTGATCAAACCAGGCTCCCAAGGACAGCTTTGGTGCCAGCACCCACGACTGCTGGTTTTCCCATTTTATATTTCACATTTTTTTCTTTATTGCAAACGACCTCTTCGAAGGAAAAAAAGAATGGGCAGAAAAATATGAATCAGAAGGTGGGTCTTTTTTTTTGTGTGGAAGCTTTCTTGCTTAAATTGACTCCAATTTTTACGGCGGGTTTCAAGTGAGAGACTGCATGTGCCCATGTACCCTCGGGAAACGGAAGCAATTTTCATTATTATTTCTAGGAAAAAACATGAAAAATTGTTTTCCATTCACAAAATACAGTATGACAAGCTGAAACTTTAATATTGACGTGTCGGCGATTGAACCGGCATTTAAAATGTATTCTGCCCTTTATTACAGTAGTTTCATCCGAAATTCATTTTACTTTTCACTAGATTTTTTTTTTTCGTTGCAAGGAACCAAAACTGTTCTGAAGGGAAAATCGAATAAGCTGGGCTTGCACTTTTTTGACAAGAATAAAAGTTTGTTTTATACTTAGCAGTTTAACGAAGTCAACTTTTTAGGGCTGATGAATTCCATTCGAAATTTTTATTCAGTCTTCGGATCTCAATCATAAAATGATTGCGAAGCGAAAGGCGCTGTATTTTGAAAAGGTCCTCGACTGCCGCTGCCTGATGAAATTTCTTCAGAATTTTCGGCACGTGTATATTTTAAGTTTCTCCACTTTTCTTTTGATTTTTTTTAATAGTTTGGTTTTGCTCTGGGAAGGGGTTCCAAATGTTGAAAATTTTCTGAATGCCCCCTCGCTTTCAATTGGAAAAACGTGCTGCGTAGAAGAACATTCCCACTTGTCGACGGCGCAATGTTTTCGCACAATTTGCTGAAAAGCTCCTTCTGTTTGAAGCTTTCCAGAATACTTTCTTGATTCTTATCCAGCACGGCTTCATCACATTACGTAATGATGAAAAGCAGAAGGAACTTTAGCGACTCGATCTATTGTCTTCCCTTTCGACCAAAATTGAACTAAATTATTCATGAAAGTTCGACTTTATTTTATCGATACTTGAATTTTATGAATGCCTTCTATTCAATTTCGTAAAAACATTCCAATAAACCCTGACTATATATCTGGGATCGTCAAATACTTTCAAAACTTATAATATAATATTTTAAAGCTTTAACCAATGAATATAAATTATTCAAGGACGACTGGAAATAATGTCCCCGGAATTCATAAAAATCTTCAAATTTCTCAGAGATACATATGAAATACAAGTAAATTTACTGCATCACAAAAATGACCAATATTAAAATTGAATCAATATTGGAAATTAAAAACGCGATACAAAATCTTATAATCTATCAGTGGGGAATAAAGCCGCGCTCCTGATCAAAAGCAAGTCATGTTTGCCTATTTTTATTGAATTAATGCAAATTTTATTATTTGTTTATTGAACGTCGGGGTTACAATTTTTATTTAATTGCTCAATTTATACAACATTTCTAGATTTGGCTGCAAAACAAAGAGGAAGACTTTGTTTCGCTTTTCAGGAGATATCGTCAACTCTTGCCGGCACTTTCGCTAATCGGACCCTCTCAAGAGCTCTCGAAGAATCCCCTTTTATCTCAGCATCTAAGTAGACAGTTTGTTTTTCAGCAGTCAACACTTATCCTCATTCCCTGCACGGGATGTCATCCGTTTCATGCAAGAAACACGGAAAATACTGTGCCTTTTCTCGGGAGCATTAGCGATATCCACCTCCGCGGCTTGTTTGCCGGGCGCGGCTCGGATGAAATCCTTGTCACGTGTCGCTCTTGATCCGGAGTGATCGCATTAAAAGCACGCGAAACATTCATGAGTCACCTATAGTCTTAGTGCGTCTCTTATCTCTCAATTCCTCGTCGTTTCCTCGAGAGCCCCGCAAATAGTCTGACACACGTGACAGCGAGAGTGCACTGCGCGCAAAAAGGAGCAGCTTATTTGAGAAATAACACCAATCCCGTGCGAAATTCACGCGGGATTGTCCGAGTCTATCCTCGAATCCGATTACGGGAATGCAACAGGGGTGGCACATCTGTCTGTTTTTTTCGTGCATATTGCAAAAACTGCTCAGACCCAGCAGTCGAGGCTTTTCGTCACTTGTCAGGGCAGTATACTTGGAGGATTTTTCGTCAAGTTCTGCAAATCTCAAAAATGTCGAGCAAAATGATATAAAAAAAACTGACGTTGATAAAAGAAGAAGATCTGCGAGGGAATGAAGTCAAGGGGAATATTGAAAACTTTCTTGCTGATTTCAGGCTCACAAAGTTTGAAATCGAGGCTAAGCTTCTCGTGGAATACTGAAATAACATTAGAGCAAGGCGTGAAAAAAGATTGTGGATTTTTAAACATCGAACCACTGGAACCAGAAAAACTAATTTCAAATTGAGTGAAAATTTCGTCTTTAGTAATGTCCATGACGATCATTCGAGGCTTTATACGCAGTAACCTGAAATATTCAGTTTTGAAAAACGAGTCTGAGCAATTCATGTGTTATCTTCTTAACTTCTTCCAATATTGCATTCTCAAATAAAAAATTTAAAACATGCGGGGAACGAAAATGACTTTTTTTGTTTTTGAACTTTATAGTTTGGCCTGATACTGCTATAGAAGCTGAGAGAAACTTTTTCCTAAACATTCACTCTTCAGCAAGCATTTTAAATTTACGGAAAAGTAAGATTTTTGGTACAAAAATTTGTTCAAATTTTTAAAAGCTTTTTTCAGGGTTTTAATGTGCTATCGATTGAGAGATTAAGAGACCTGTACGATTAAGAGACTAAAATTATCGCCCAAATTCTTTGCGAAATCAGGGTGGCTGTGATTTTAAAATATATTTCCATTTAAAATGCTTTTGAAATGTCAGTGTGTAGTTGTGTACATTTAAAGTTAAAATCGTCTGAAGGTCGATTTAAATTCCATTGAATTGTATCTCTACAAATTTCTTGAACAATTATAAAAAATTCATCATATCATGAAAATTGGATCCTGAAATTACAATTCATCAGATTTTCTATTGAGATTTCCAATTCCTGCTTTGAAAAATTGGAACTGTCTAATAAAAGATCACAGTCAAGATTTATTTAAAAGTCATTCAAATTAATTACTTTTCAAGGAATGCAAAAATTTAACACTATGTTTCGAAATTTGTGAAGAAAGAATAATTGCAGCCAATTATGAACGAAGAATATCAGTAAAGCTAAGGTTGGTCTTTGAATTTCCGGGGTAATCGTAAGTTGCTTCTAACTGAGTGATGAATAATTGTTCAATCGAAGCCTTGAAACAATTTTTGAGCCTATGCCGCAGGATTTTCCGGCATTCTTAATATTTCTGGCCCTCTTTTGTGGATTCTTGGCAGTGCATTCGCTGAAATTATTAATCAATCAGGACGTAATGAATAAACCGTTAAATAGCAAGAAGAATATGCATCAATTTTTCCTAGTTTTCATTTGTAAATTTGTTCGGGTCCTTTTCTTTAATCCGATGAGCCGTTAATCGAACCCCTCAAGATTGAAGTTGTGTTACCTCGTTTTAATTTCGAATCCGTGTTTGAGACAAACACTCTACCAGCTACGTTTGAAAAAGCCTCTCCATCGTCTATTATTCAAGGACTCAGCATAAAAATTCCTCTTTATAAATTCAGAAAAATCACAATTTTCGAGTTGCTTCCGATTTCCCGCGGTCACGTTGCCTCAGTCACGTTGGAGTGAGAAATCCATCCCGGCGGAAGGGCCTGATGAGATTTCGACCCGTCTTACTCCTGTAATATATATTATTCCCGTGGGCTCAGGATATCCCAGCACTCATCCCCTCGTCGGGTTCGTGTCAGATTATTTTGTTTTCCCCAGAATGCGTGGACCCGAAAGGCGGGTGTTGGAGATCCGTCATTATCCGGCAAGGGAAACAATTCCGTCTCACCGGGAGATTTGCTCATGATTTCCTCGGAAATTCGGGTCTTTCGAGTACCAACCGCTGATGGTGACCAGCATTTGTGCTTGGTTTTTTTTTTTGTGCCATAAAAGGCTACTTTGCTGCAATTTACGGTACTGAAAAAGGATGGAATTTTGAACGCATTGTTCGATTCAATTTTTTAAAAATCCGACGTCTCGTCGCACATCTTTCTCGAAATTTATCTTTATTTTTCTGCTTCCGGATTAATCGAAAAGAATACATTTTTTGGTCTTGCAATAATTAATAAATATATGTGGGGAGGAGTGAATGAAAGCAGAATAACGTCATGATACAGTACTGTACTGTATATATTTTATGTGCGTACAGTATTTTTGCATCAACGGCATGAAAGGAAAACAAATCTGTACGAGGCAGTGAAAATACGCTTTCTTTTCCTCTCCGCCATTCTGACTATCAAATTTTAAAAAATAGATGAAGTGTGTGGTAAAATGGATTCCAAAATTTTTTAATTAACAAGGATTTAAATATATAAAAATAAATGAGTTTTCTGACTGTGCCTACTGAAAATCATTCAGGCGCGTCTCAAAACTGAGAAAACTTTTTATAAAACGCATCAATGAACTTTAGAAAGCATGAGTTAATCGACTTGATTTTTCTTAATTGTAATTACTTTATTTCAAGCATTTAAATGTCGGCATTTATTGGTCTTACCAATGATACCATTTTATACTTGTTGAATTGTATTTCACGCAAAGCTCCAATATCACACTTTGTTCAGTGTCTTGTCTTTAAACATTGTGGAGATAAAAAGCACTTGAAAAAAATGTGCCCAATTTTTTTTGAGTAAAAGTATGAAAGCACGTCAATTTCGTATCCCGTGTAGCAGCGTGAATACTGTATAGAAATTTAAATTCCCACTGAGGCGAAGACTGAATTATTTGAAAGTGAACAAGCAAGTACGCAAAGAAACACAACTT